ATCTGTCCGTCCATCCCGTCATTCGCCCACCTTCCTCACTGATTGACTATTCCATCACTTCACGATTCCCCCAGGTGGACAAACTCCCCAAGATGTTGCACTGCCACCACACGTTCTGCCTAGACTGTCTCCTCCAGATGTACCGGGTGGAAGGAGAGTTCCGGCAGTCGCTCACCAACGTCTTCAGAGCCATGCCGATGACCGTCAAGATCCAGTGCCCGACGTGTCGAGAAGGTATCATTATATCGGAGCCAGAACTCCGCAGACTACCCAACGACCACACGATAATGGAACTGCTGTACTTCGTAAATCAAACTGGCAAGAATGAGGTCCAGTACTGCACTAAACATCAGATGCAGCCATTAAATTTCTTCTGCGAGCCCTGTATCATGCCGGTGTGTTGTGACTGTACTGTCATCGACCACAAAGAATCCAAAGGACATTTAGTAGTGAACGTGGACGAAGCGATGAAGAAATATACACCTATAGTAGAGGAGACGCTAGGTGACATCCGAACAGAGAAGTCCTCTCTTGCCGAGAAGCGACTCGCTTTGGAGAACGCGCAAGACGATCTCGATCAGATCCAGAAAGACTTGAACTATCAGATTCGATCCGTGTTCGACAGCATTCGGCAAGTTCTGGACGAGCGTGAGCGAGAACTGTACGACGTGTCCGAGTCGGAAATCGAGAAAAAGCGCGAGATCCTCGACGGTCACACGCGTGTGTTGAATGAGCGAGAGTCGCAGCTCAACGCAGAGTTCAACGACCTGCAGAAGGCCCGGGACGACAGGGACATCAGCCTGATCTTTACGGGACACAAGTCAGCACGAGACGTCTTGTCCCAGAAGGTCAACGTGCCCACCAACTCGACAAAGGGCTTCTCCGTCACCTTCCAGTTCAGCAGCCGCGCCGACTCCGTGATCAAACAACAGCTGGGGAACCTCGGGGACATCATATTCCAGTCTTAATGACTACGCCTGTTAATTTGACGTTAATAGCTATACACTAAATATTTAACAAACTGTTGCTATTTCCCGCTCGTTGTTTGGCATAATTATTTTTTCTGACTATGCCTAAAAGGTCAATGCTGCTCCTTCATCCTGAATAAAATGTCGAAACACTAACCACGGAAAAGAACAACAACTTAAAACAAAACTACAGGTTTAGTCAGACAAGAGCCTTTGAGTAGATCTGAATCCCTTTTGATGAGAAATAGTGAGCTGATACCGATTCAGTTGATAGGCGCTTACCTATGATTATTTAATCGTTAATGTTATCGTTAGTTAAGGTCTACATACAGGGTATCCAAACTATTTAGTGACTCAGTACGCAATGTTGTTTCTGTAAACTTTGATAGAATGAAGTTATACTGGCAAACTACTACATATTCTAATACGCAATCATGGTGTCCTGACTCCACTACATTTCTCATATTCCACGTTCAAATTCCTATAGATTTATTTATGATAAGCAACTTACGAACAAGGCTGTAACTTGTCTATCATAAATGTGTTTGCTAAACAAAACAGTGAGATCTCAGTCATATTTCAACTTTCTTTTTGTGCGGATGGGTTTCAACTTTTTAAAGCTGCGTGTGACTGGTGAGGAGTGATCGCTTCTAAATGCGTGTTTTGACCATCTGATCCTGGAGTAAGTCAAGAGAAGGAGGGTTTGTCTCAAAAACAATCCATTTGAAGTCGATCTAGATATTGTGTATAAAAAGTATTTAAAAGTCTGTTTTTGTCAGGAAAGGAAAAACGTGTAGGCCAACATGGAGGAATACTGCAAGCTGGAAGCAATAAGCCTGAGCCATCGAATCCACCATTGGAAGTGTTTTATGTGGGCTACATAATATGTAGCCTAAATAAAGTCACTCTCCATTATTAGATCTTTTTTCTTCAATGACGATATTTTTGTTGTTGGGCACAATCTATCATGTTTAAAACAGTAGACCATAGAACCTACATGACAATATAGTGGAAGAATCCACGTATATTATGTAGGGGGATGGGGGGCTTACTCCCATGTCACAATTGAAGGAAAGACCCCCACCCCCCTCAAACTAATTTCTGGACCAAACGGAAAGAGAAACTTTGAGAAGTTCATAGTGTGTTCGAAAAAAATCCGTTCACTTGTTTTTGGATGTGGGAGAAGAAATGCGAGAGCAATCTGGGAAACCAAAAGCCCTCTAATAGTATACTGGATAATATTTCCAACACTAAACTTGTGTACGAAATATTAAAGATCTTTGCGGACACGAACATGCACTGGTCATTGGTAAAACCCCTAACTTGTGTGTATCTCGTCCAGTTCAGTTGGACGTTGTCTCTATGTTCTGAATTGGGTGGAGGAACACAACTACTTTTACATTTTAATACATTTACAAGAAGACAGGCATTTTGCTGTACATTGTATTTTATTACAATATTTTGTAGGGCCTCATTTTGTCATGGTTTCAGTATGTACATATTTAACACGTATCTCTTAGTCTCATTATCGGTTACCTACTTAACAGGTATGTCTGATATCGTGTTGTTTTGATTTCTAAAGAACTGTGTTGTAGTTGTATTTATTGTTGTTTGGTACTGCTGTTGTTGTTATATTGCTTCATATTTTTGTATCAGGTGTAAAACTTGTCTATTCGAACAAATCGAATTTGAAAGATCCATTAGCACATCAATTGCTTTTCTCTGTTTTGTTTTGTTTTGGTTTTGTTTGGGGTTTTTTTTTTTGGGGGGGGGGGAGGAGGGTTGTTATTGTTGTTGTTATTTTTTGTCTTTTCTCCATGTTTATAGCTTTTTGTGACGTTGCATGGCTGGATTTAAAAGTCTGGTTTTTTTCCCAGTAATTTATTGCGAATATAAGTCATTTATCGGGCAAAACTGTTGGAATATAAGTCATTTATCGGGCAAAACTGTTGGAATATAAGTCATTTATCGGGCAAAACTGTTGATAGGTTTTTGCTTTGGAAGTCACAGTTGAAAGGAGAGAACCTCAAAGATGTCCGTGGGAACACTAAACGCGACCTCAGAGCCAACTGTTTCTGTCAAAAGGACTCTGCAGACAGAACTTTTTGGCTTTCAGCCCATGTCTGGCCTTTGTTGGCAATGTCACCTCGTTCCCCCGCTGCAAGAATTAATTGTGGTTTTCCTTACCTTTTCCCTTTCTAGTTTATGTCCTTCTCACCTCTGACCCCGGCAGTCAAAGCAGCGCCCTCACTTACTGGCTTAATGTGGCTTTAAGGCTTCCTCGGTTTCGACTTGGGTTGGCAGAACCCTTATATTTCTGTTACAGTTTCAAGGTGTACGCAACTAAAGCGATCAGATCTGTGTGTTGATGGCATCAGTAAAGAGTGGTTAATGAAATTGTGCATTATGAGTGCGAGTTTTAATTAAACTGTTAGCCATCTTTCAAAGATGTACATTTCTGGGCTAGTTATTGAAAAGTGGGGATTTCCTTGTGGATTTGTGTCTTTTGAGGTACTCAACTCCCCCCCCCCCCCCCCCGCAAATCCCAATTTACCATGGTCATGAAGCATTGAAAACATTGCGCCTGGCAAGGTTTCCACTTCCTTTCTGGCCAGTGCATGTAAAGAAAACGAATATAATATGCAAAAACATTTGTTGCGTGTAACCTACAGCTCGTAGTGGAGAGGAAGCACTAGGTAATCGTCTTCTGGTGCAGTAGCGGGCTGGAACGCGGAGTCCCGTGCTCTAATAGGTATTGCAAAACAGATTGCTACCTTAGAGTTACACAGTTCTGTCGGACAATTTCGGCTGTTTTGAGTTATTAATACCATGAGGTCAGACTCCAAATTAAATGCTCTATCTGCTCTATCAAAATCGCAAGTTTATCCAGTCGTAATCAAGATATTCAAACAATTGCATTTGAAAAAGCTTGCCCTTTTTGTGATACTGAGAATTTCATACGTTAAACTTCTCAAAACTGGATACTGAGCAGATAGAACTTTGTAAATCTAAGGTGGTGAGGTGGAAGGGGACGAGGACGGGATGGTATAGGCTGTGGGATTTGGTACAAAAGAGGCAGCAAATTAGAAACTGGGCTTTGGTTTGGGGGGG